AAAATACAATAAAATGCCTATGAGGTTGCCTAGATAATAATCTTACCTTTAGATTTTATAAAAGGTCAATTCACTTTAATTTTTAAATTAACGGAGCTACACATGTTCTGCTGAGTTTACAATTTGCTATGTTACGCACTTGTAAGACGGAGACAACACATGCGGGTATCACGTCCTCTTAAGTGGTTGATAGATTAATAAAGTGATGCTCCGTGAGCACAGCACTTGGCCCATGTTAACCTTACTTATTTCCAATGCTACAAGCAGAAGTCTGCAGCCTGAGGTTACTCTTATATGACTTGAGTATAATATATTATTACCTTATACATTATTAAACTCCTCAAAATTCTTCAAATTTGTATAGAGTTACTGAAATAGCAAATTTACTGTCAGTGGCCAAAAAAGGTCAGTTTGTACAACGCCTAATAGCTTATTGGACATTAAAACGGCAGTTTCGAAATGGAGTTCCGCTTTTAAGACGTTTACAAACTAGTCAACATTCTAATGTGTCACGACGCGAAGAGCCAATTGCATCAAGTGGAAATGAAGATGATCTTGTAGGTGCTATATTAATATATTATAACAACAATACAATCTTATTTTTCTCAATTCCAAACATTAATACTTTTAATATCTAAAATGTTATTAATTAATTACATTTGTAGAACGAACTATATCGACAGTTGAAATATTGGCAAGCTCTTCGTCAGGACTTAGAAAGAGTTCGCTTACTTTGTGAACTGATCCGTAAAAGAGAACGTTTGAAAAAAGAGAATATTAAAGTGTAAGTATTAAATATTCTCCAACAATTTTATTTTGTTAGCTGGTCTAACAAGATTACATTTTTTCCTAAGATGTGAACAGTATACACTAAAATCTCTATGGCCATTCCATGCTTTCCTACATTCAGTATTACAACAGTTAATTTTAAAAGACACAGGCCAAATATTTATTGAACCCGTTGATCAAAATGAAGTCCCTGATTATGGAGATATAGTGAAACATCCAATGGATTTACTAACAATGGAATTAAAAATAAAAAATTCTGAATATACTAGCCTTGAAGAGTTTGAAAATGATTTCAACTTGATGGTATCAAACTGTTTAGCTTATAATTCAAAAGAGACTATATTTTATAAAGCTGGTATAAAGATGAGAGACCAAGTGAGTTTAGTTTATTTTGTGTTATAATATACTTAAAAATAAAATATGTTATCTTGTTTAGGGTGGAACAGTTTTAAGAACTGCCAAACGAGATCTTAAGATTTTAGATCTAGATCCTATTTCAATGACCTTAGCTGAAGACAGTAAAGAAGTTGAAGAAACTACAGCTTTAAAATGTACTCCTAAAACAAATGATGAAGTCAAAGATGACAAGAGCTCAGAGTTTGATAATGAATTGAAAGAGATATGCAATCCATCTAATACTATGGGTGATGATGATCGTATGTGTAAACTTCTACAGTTAGCTGATAAATGCAGAGGTGGCCGACAAAGTAAAAGAGCTCGTCTGATTAAAACAGAATTGACTAAGCTTAGAACTAAAATCGACCTGGAAGGAAAAAAATGTGAAAATGGTAATTTTATGATTATTTTAAGTTACAAAATTTTGGAATAGTAAAGTTATGATTACATGGTGTTATATTATAGGCTATTTGAGTGGTTAATAATAACATACATACATATATTTCTATATTATTATTTTTTTGTATTATTAAAATAATTTCAAAACCCATCTTATACTTTATTTAAGTTTTTAAAATATGTTCATGCAATATATACTTAAAATTAAGAACTTATAAATAATGATGTTAAAAAAATTACTTAGAAAGAACACTTGATTATACATAAAGACATTAATAATAAGAAACTCAAAAAGCATATAACTAAATAAACTCAATTAATAATTAAATAAGAAGTCAATGACAATAATACACTTTCTGAAACAAAATAATAGATGTATAATTATTTATGGTAAAAATATATTTTCCATTCAATTCTCCCCCTATTAATTCATTTCTTTACAGTAAAATTACAAATTAACTCATTTTAAAATATAATAGTATTGTTAATCAAACCAGAATCATTGTGAAACACATGAAAAAAAAAATAGGTCTATAATATTATATTCTGTGTTATCATATATTATTATAGATGAAACTGACGAAATTGATGAACAAGAAAAGGCAGAAGTAGAAAAAACAAGTTTAAAAAAGAATTCCAAAAAAAAAAATGACCAACCAAATGAACAGTTTGTTTTTAAAAAACCAGAAACTCCATCAAAATCAACATCTCCAGCCACGTAAGAATAACAAATTAAAAACAATAATTATTTTAAGGACTTCATATTAATACTATCACTTGTACTATTTTAATTCAGATTATTCTGAAATATCAATAATAAATAATATATTATTAACTTATTTTTATAGAACTTCTAGAAATTCTACACGTAAGAAATCATCAACAGACCCTTCAACTACACCTCCTCTTGTTAGGCGTACAAGACAATCTACTAATTTTGAAAGTTTCAAAGCGTACAGGTCCAGTGAGTTGTTTTTTTAATAAGTTGTAAATTATATGTTAATTGGCTATTGTGAGTGAAGATCATTGTATTATATGCTTTTATTACTTTTATTGAATAAATTAATATAAACAATACCGTATTCTTACTTATTACCTTATATTATCCAACTGCAATATATATTTTTTTTTTTTTTTGTAACACAAAATCTATGTATGTATAAATTCAAATTAAATGAATAACTTACAATGTTTTTAACTACCTTTAAATTAACTTTTTGTTGATCACTTAATAATCACTATTAAATTACTAGGTAAGAGAACTGATACAGAGGATGATTCTCCATCAGATGAAGAATCTAGTTATTTAGATTCTGAATCTGGTTCAAATTCTAGTACTACTACTGGAAGTGGTTCAACTACTGATGGAAGTAGCTCGTCAGGAAGTTCATCAGATTCAGAATCAGAAAGGGTACAAAAGAAAGGAGGAAAAAAAGATGAATTTGCACAATTACAATTGGTCTGGGCTAAGTGTAGAGGGTATCCGTGGTATCCTGCATTGGTAATACTTAATAAAATGCATTTTAAGTTATAAATATTCTATTTTTTTTTTTTCTAGATAATCGACCCGAATATGCCACCAGGACACTTGCATAATGGCATACCTGTTCCAAGTCCTCCATCAGAAGTATTAAATTTAGCAAGTAATTACAAAGAGCTTGTGTACTTGGTATTATTTTTCGATTCCAAACGGACATGGTAAGTCAGATTATGATAGTTGATAATTAGATGTGTATGTCCTGGTTATTGTTAGTTGTTACTGTGTAAAAATTGATGATAACATACTTTTCTAGGCAATGGTTACCTCGTAACAAATTGGAGCCCCTTGGGGTTACTCAAGAACTTGATGATATTAAACTAACAGAATCGAAAAAACCAGCAGATCGCAAATCTGTGCGTAAAGCATACATGGAAGCTCTTGTATATAAAACTGATCCAATAATTCCATCTTCTAATTTAAGACGTTCAAGTAGAACATAATATTCACTATTATTTATGTTAATTTTTCAGTTTTGTGCATGTTGCACTGTTAATTATTTTAGAATTTCAATTTTTTTATTGTAACAACAGAAATTTACATTTTTATTTTATTATTAATATTGTTTTTAAATAAGTATACCAATCAAAAGCAATGTAATAAAAATAAATAAAGACAAAAATTTAACCTTATTTAAAAAAATTTAACCGTGGATTTTTATATTCTAATTTTTCTGTTAAATGTGTTAATTTTTTTTTTCCGTTGTCACAGTGTAACTAAGAAATAGTTGACAAATCAATAAATAAAAATATTTAGTATTTCATCAAAATTGTTGTTTTATTATTTTACACGTAAAATCTGGTGATGATGAATAGGTCCTGGGAAATGGAGTTCAAAATGTTTACAATCCCCTAAAACAATATACGAGCAACATAATATATATTTAATATTAATGTGCACGTAAAATATTTCCCCTATATGGTTTTACTATACTTATAATAATAAATCATATGGTCAATGAATAGCCTTTCCTCTCTGAGAATTTTGGCTATTTGCAATACTGATTATGACTTGATTAATAGATAAATAGAATATCTTGACTACAATTACAATAATAAATCTAAAACATTGTACATTTAAATTATGAGTAAATTCTAGTTGAACTCAATGTAATGGGTATATGCAAGCCAATCGCTTTATAACAGTTAGTGTCACTGAATGTATATCATAAATTGAAGAGAACTCCAAAATGTAATATAATATGAGAAGGTGTGTTCAATATTGAAAATATCGAAACCATTTTGTTGTTTATGTATCATTATTGACACAATTAAATTTCAAATTTCAATTATGTATGTGGTTGCTTGGGGCCTTTGATTCTGTCAATATTATTCAATAGGTACAGCCATGGCTTACAACATAAGATCGGCTTACTATCAAAGAATAATATATTGTATTACTAAATGCAGAAATTCTCTATGCTCAAACTTTTAAATTATACATTTCTACAGCACCAAGATAAACGATAGCGATAATGAACCATTCTACATTAAATCATAAAACAATCGAATTCAATGAATTTTTACTATTTTGTATTGTGAAAACATCCCGATTCCAGAAAAATTTTTTTCGCACCGGTTTCCGCGAGAGAACATCAAAGGTTCACAGCTCGCCGTGTCGTGTACAACTGAATATATTCGACTCGAAGGTAACGTGTGACCTTCATTTGTCACATTATTAAAGATGCGGAACACGACGAGTGACGAGGTGTGATTCTCTAGAATCCAACTTGTAGGTTTAATTATACCTTGTGTCTACAATAACTCAGAACCATAGTCTAAAGATTATAACCGTGGTATCTATATTGTTGATAATGTACTATAATATGAGTTATCAGTTATGCTGATTACTGCACTGATTGTCCGCCAAATGACAATATATATTTTAGTGTACTAACTACTACGGTGTAGTAGCGTCAACTGTCTGTTCCCTTTAACTTTAGTCTTCATCTACCGAATAACTGTGGTTGTTCTACGCAGACATAATTATTAATATTTTCTACTAATCAACTAAATATGTAAATATTGCGCCTAAAAATCTCGGAGATTTGTTAGTCATCAGATAATATTATGTTGTTGAGCTGTACAGTTGAGAACTGTGGAAACAAGTTAATGAAAGGAAATGGACGGGAAAATGGAATTATATTTCATCGGTAAGGTCTATTAATATTTTAGTCATTAACATTTAAGATGTTCAACAACACGTCAACACGTCGTATTAATGATAAAATAATGATAAATTAAAAGACGTAATGGATTCTAAAGATGATTTTGAAATCATAACCGTTTAATCATTATCTTGACCTATAATGTTCACATAGTTAAGGGTATATTAATACATTACACATGGAAAAACCCAGTACCCAAATTATGTATACAAAATGATAATACATTTTTTTTACTCAAATTTTTAATATTTATCAAACCCCGTTCGAGACATTTTTTATATTTTTTATGTTTACCTTAAACCTTATAATTATGTAATCGGTACTATTCACAAAATGCAATACATCGATTATTTTAAATTTAAAAGGTTTTAATATAAATTTCCCGTTTTATATTTCAGACTTCCTTTGCATGATAAAGAGTTACATAAGAAATGGCTGAAAGCATTAAAAATTGATGACTGGACCCCAACTAAGTATTACAATGTTTGCAGTGATCATTTTAAAGAAGATGATTATAAAAAGTCACCTTCTGGAGATATATTAACGGATTTGTTGAGCAATGCAGTTCCTTCAATTTTTGAAGATAGTGCAGATCCAACAAATAAGATATGTTTTTTTAATCAGTAAGTTTGAATTAAAAATATACAGATGTCCATAGTAGGGAGAAAATCAAATGACAATCAGATGTATTTTATCCAAATTAAAACTACTATCATATCTTTTTTATATAGTTTTTATCATTTATGATATATTAAATATTAATACACAACCATATAATTTTTAATAAATGGTCTGAAATACATTTCAATGTCTGCATGCATTTGAATATTTTACAAATTAATATTATAAAACTAATGTTTCAGAAGAGATGCACGCGCCAAAGCAATGAGAGAAAAGTATGTTTTTTCTTACTATTACATAAATTATCTTTGTATATATTATGTATTTTTTGTTAATTTAGATTAGAACAAGGTAATATTACATATATATTAATATATCTATAATGAATACAGATGAATGTATATTAGTAAAAAATATTTTTAAACAATATAATTTGAAATGGAAAAATGAGGATAAAGATAATGATTCAATTTCAAAAAATCTTGAGTAAGCTTAGAATTGATTTCATGATTTAATATAACAATTCTTATAAATGTAGAGTCTTATTATCGGTATGGAAACGGTTCAACATATATTGTCACCTGAACATTTGTCACTCAATTCACTTGGAAGGTAAGACTATTACTAACCAAATACAATAATTGTTAAAAAAACGGGTAGTGAATGTCGCTCTGCTGTACTGTCTTAAGAGGTCGCTGTATTGGATGGTATTAAATTTGAATTCAATGATATCAAATCATTGTATACGAAAAACGATTCAGAGCAGAGATGATATGTCAGTTTAGGATATTTTATATTATTATTACTTATTACTTATATGGTAGCCGGTAGTTGAATTAATATTATTCTTAAATCATCAGCGATATTGGAAAAATATTAAATATACCTATATAAAATTGGACTGTTTTGGAACCGAATTACAACAAAATGAACCATTATTCTTCGTTTTAATATGCAATTTTGTCCAAATTAGCACGTAAAATGTCTATAAAATAACTATTCATATTTATTTTGGATTTTTTAGTTATGGAAAAAACTGCTTATGTGGAGCCATGTTTTAAATTTGCAATCCTTAGCTGCAAAAGTTTAACATTTTGTTCATTTTTAACTACAAAATCATTTTCAATTTTCAACTTGATAAATATTGTCCATATTTGAACTTTAAATGCTTGTAAAAAAAGAATCGTTTCCATGTATTATTAATATTTTTCAACTGCTATTGTAACGAGTTATCAAGAGTCTTGTATTAAATTGTCATGCTTTTTGGCTCAACCAATAAAATTGTATTGACATTCATAGAAAAAAAAGGAAAATGGAAATGTCCGTCAACAGCCTAAAACGAGTCAGAATATTTCGAAAAATTTGTCATGTTTATGAATTGATAAAATAAACATTTGGTGTAAATTTCAAGTGTATTTCAAGTATCTGCAGTAATTCGTTTTTAAAATACAACAAAATAAAAAAATCGCTTCAAGAGAAATCGAGTGAAAATCCTATGTTGTAAAAATTTCTACTTCAAATGCTCATAAAAATTTAATTTGACTTTCCGGTAGAATTTTTTTTTTTTGTTATAGGTAGGCAAACTTGTTAGGAAACTTGTATTCAATTTTTAAATCTTTGATATGATTAGAAAATTTTTTATAAATTTCTAACTAAATATAATTTGCTAATTTTCATGATTCTTACAAATTTCGACAAAATTCTAAGTTCAACAACTCATAAAAAATTATTGTGGATTTAAGCTCAACTTTTTTTTTAAATTTCCATTAACAACAGCTTACAAGGAACCTTGTATTAAATTTTCAAGTTTTTTGAAAAAATGTTTGTCGACTTGGGTTTAAAAAAAACATAATATTCAAAAATTTAATTTGCCTATAAGTAGTTCAGTACAAATCAAAATTTTACATTGTATTGGTATAGTAAATGCTTACACAAATATTTAGTGACAATTGCATGTATCTACAGTCATTTTTGCTAAGGTAACATTGAGTAACACTAAAAACCAAAAATTATTTTTTCAAAAAATGGTTTTGCTTAAAAATTCCTGTTTTTCCTTAATTTTTTGTTTGTTTTTCCTGTTGCTTTTGAAAACTATTGGGAAATTTAAATTTTGACCTCCCGAATGCCCCAATAAGATTCACTCCTACCAGAAAATCAAAGTACTTTTACTGCTAGATACCGTGATGACAGACCAAAAAAACAAACACACATCATTGTAAAATCAATACATTCATCGCTTCGCTCAGAATCTAAAATAGTATTTTAGTATTCAACTAAGTTTTAATTAATGTGTTGTGTACTATATATATGTTGATGATGACATGTGATTATGTTATTTAAAAAAAAAATCTTAATGTATATTTTTCATATTTACTGTATTTGAAATGTACATATTTTAGAATTACTTTGTAAGATACTCTCAGTTCATATAATTCACTTCAATTTCGAACAATACTTAAAGCTTTTACAAACACTTGATAAAGTGATTAAATCAGTATTTTTTTCACTTTTACCTAAAATATTTTTATAATTTCCCAATCACCTATTTTATTCTTATATCATTGTCTCTGGTTTCTTCGACACCATTGTAAGTGTGTGCACATTTAAACATTTGTAATAGGTTATGCAATTTTAAATTTTCCGTGCTTTCTATATTTCTCCCTTTCATATTCAAATTTTGAGTTATAGATCAAAGTTAATTTGTTATCAAAAAAAAAGTACTTGATTAAATATAGTATTAGTTGCAAATGTTCAGATGATGATTGTCAAAGCTTATTCATGCCTCAGTCTATTAAATCATAATAAAAAAAAAAAATCCATTTCAATATAGCAAATTTTCAATAGGTACTACTTAAAATAAAAAATCAGTTTTAAAAATTGTTTATTCTATAGTTGATTGTTATTGTTTTTGTGGCCTTTCAACTGTGAAGATTTAAATTACATGTTTTTTTTTACTTTGATTTTGGAATACTCATTAGTAGAAATGTCTTTTACAGAGAAAGAGAATACGTCGCACCAATTTGTTATGTTCCCAACTGTAAAACACCAAGAGGATTACCAATCTATAATTTTCCATTTGGCGATGAACGTTTATTGGACATATGGTCACAAAGAACCGGATTAAGTACAATGTATGACACAGAATTATATTTAACTATAACAATATGTAAAAGCCATTTTCATGAAAATTGTTTCTATGAGAAATCTTTACAGTTAAAACCTTATGCCATTCCATCTTTAAATTTGGTTGGTAAGCATTATTGAATTCACATTAGGAAATATTGTTAGAAATTTGAATCGTTAGAACTTTAAATAATTAGCGATTGATTAATTGCAGGGATTAAAATAATTCTTAATACCTACTAGTTATTTATATTTTATTAAAATATTTTTTTTTTATAATTTAGATTACTCAGGATCTCCGGATAGTTGTTGTCTAATCAAAACTTTATACTCGGAAGAAAGTGCAGGTACATTTAAAATATATATATATACTGACTAAAACAATAATTAATAAATACAATAATATGACATTTGAAAAAATCTATCTATTATCTATTTTATTTTTTTTTTAATTTTGTTTGAATGACACTAAAACATTTTTAATGATTATTTTCTATCGTATACAAATCCCTATCCAACAAATATTTGAATAAAATATTTTACAATATCTAGATTTTATGTGATAGTAAGAATAATCATTATTTTATTTTTATATTTTACTAGTTGAATACCCCAGCTTTGCCAGCTTGTAGTTTTTACTTTGTTTTTTTGTGGAAAATCATTCAAATGAATCTCAGGTTTAGTGTACTTCAGTTCACTCACAAATTGGTGTCAGTGTTCCTAGCTTTGTGAAATAATTCCATCTAGATGAGACACCATAAGTTGTGGATTGGATGTAGCACTTGGTATATGTTTAATGTAGTTCAAACTTCATATTCTTTTAACTTTTCTAACATCCCTAAGAACAATCTCTGATATTTTCTTCAAATTTAGTTGAGTAGTTTTTGAGTTAATAAGTTACACACATACATTGGATCTTTATCCTAGTGCGACTTTTGATGCATGTTTGTACCTACTTTACCCGAATAACAAATGGCAGCCATTTTTTTTATGAAAGTTTCAATTTCCCCAGCTGATACCCGTTTGACAACCTCTTTAAAATGCAAATAATTTCTTATTGCATATCTAGATCATTAGAATACCCACTATTCTAAGTTTCAAGTTTATACGTTCTGTAGTGTTTGAGATGTAGCTATGAATGGGTTAGGGAGTGGTATTTGTATTATATATATATATAGGAAAATTAATATTTCATAGGTTAGGAGATTCTTATATCAAAGACCAAACATATTAACATGTTTTATAATTTCTTTGTATGGTGTAAGTGGTTGCTAAATGACATTGCATTGTTGATTAGATTAGATAAAATAAAAAACCATTCATGGATTAGTTTTTTTAAGCAATTATTCATAATTACTCATTCATTTGTTTTTTACTTAAATTTAGTGATGACTTCTACTGGTGATCGCACGTGGGGATGGTTGGGTAGTACTGAAGCATTTGGAAGACTTCCTGAACCCAATGAGTTTATTGTCATCCCTAAATCTGATATAAATAAGAAAAAGTATAAACTTATAAGCTCAACTCAAGCTGCTCATTGTTTAATATATGCAGAGAACAATGAAAGAGTATTTGATATTTACAATCCTCGTGCTTCAATTCTTGTAAGTTATTGAAATACTAAGAAATAATGGGAGTTAAAATTAATATTGTTTTTGATTTATGTTAGATGCAATTAAGATATGATGGTTATTTTGGATTTCCTGGTGGATTAATTGATGATGGTGAAGATTTTGTTACTGCTGTTAACAGAGAAATGGCAGAAGAAATGAATTTAGATACCACTAAATATTCTGTCACTGCCGATGATCATATTATATCTCATTGGAGTGAGAAAAAAAAACTAGCTTTACACTTTTACAAATTAAAAGTTGATTTGGCTGATTTGATTGAGATTGAAAGACAAGCTTTGCTTGCACAAGATTATGGAAATGAAGTAATTGTGTTATTGTTTTAATAATTAAAAAATTTTTAACTAATTTTAAATAATTTCATAGGTGCTTGGTACAGTTAGAGTTCCATTGTATACATTGGGCGACCATTACCGCGGACTTCCAGTATTTTTGAAGCACAAATTTATTGGTTGTTCTCGGGATCAACTTATAGCTGCACTAACAACATTAAATATTTTAACTCCTGAAGAAATTCAACTTGCTTTAAATGAAAATAGTGGACTTTAATAATTTTTGTCTAAATATAATAAATGTACTGTACAGCATTTTGTTTTTTTTGTTTTTATACAATATTAAAAAAAAATTGAATGGTATTAATAAGCAAATGTCTTAAATGAAACTAAATGAAATTTGTATATAATAGTGAATGATATTAAGGAGCAAATGTCTTAAACGATATTGGACGACATTCTAAATTATTGAGGTTCAGTAAAATACAAGTTTGTGTTGATGAAAAAGACGGCACACTTATAAGTCTCGTAGGTTTGCCTGGAACAAAACATTCAAAAAATGTAATCTTAGTTCAGAGAACGCTACATCCGCATGTGTCTCAGTCTTAAAAACATGCAATATTAAAAAAAATTGTATTATGTAGAACCGATTTTGTGTTGTTAGCTTTATATCAGTGGGGCATTAACAATTTATGTACTCATAACGTTCTTACAAATTCAAATATGAAGACAACATAATTTTCTTCTTCAAGCTTAATAATAGGTCAATACACTAATATTTAAGCTAACGACACAAAAGTAGTTTTGCTGAACTTAAATTTGATATGTTATAAGTTTGTAAAACGGCGATTAACACATGTGACTGTAACATCCTCTCAATTTATTATTTATTTGATGTAAATTAGTGTAAATTACCACTGGTATTTGTTTTTAGGGATGTCTGAAATGATTTTTGATTTGATACAAAGAACACATCTGGCATTTCTTTTATAATAAATGGATCTTGTCCTTCAAATGGATAACATGCTAATAACAATATAACCATTTATTTATTAAATATAAGTACGAACTAATAATTTTTGTTTCGTTAAGATATCCATTTAATAATATTTTGGATTTATAATTCATATTATAAGCCTCAGATTTTAAGTACAAAGAAAAATGCAACTTAAAAAACAAGGTTAAAATAAACACCTTTTTGTTTAAATATCTTCCGTTCTCAATAGTGAATCCAAACACAATAATAATTGTTTTATTTATTATATAAAATATTGTTTGAAATCATTTAATATTTCATTCATATTTATTATTTTTAACAATTTAATTTTAAAATAAACTTACGGCTATACAGAAAAACAATACTTACGAATAGTGTCTGGTGCAGATGGTATTTGGTGCCCCCAATCTAATATTTTATCCATAATATCAATAGGATCTTCTAAGTTGGTAAATCTTAAAACATCTTGTACAGTTTGTCCAGATGATCCAATTATAAGATGGCCTTCAATTTCAAACTGATTTGGATTTGTTACTCTGTGTAAACTTGAATATTCAGAAGCCTATAAAAAAAATTAGAATGAACCACAACAAAAACAGACAGGCTTAGTTTATAATACTTAAATAAACAATTGTTATAATTTTATCTATCTAATATCTATTTTCATTTATTTTGGAACATTCATTGAATGGTCTCAGTGCAAGAACTAGCCGTATCCATTTTTTTTTTATTTGAGTTACATTTTCTGATAGAGAATAATTATATCTACATTTTGGTGCAATAACCAGATATCTCCGCAGTGGAAGTTAAACAGGGGGGATAAATTCCCCACAACCTTTTTTTACATGTTTAAAATCTAATAGCCATAAAATAGCGCATGTTGAAAAATCAACCTTACCCCCCCCCCCCTTGACAAAATCATTTTATCGCCGCTGTATCTTTGTCTGTTAGATAGCTTATATCATATAAATGGAAATAAAAAGAGTTCACTACAATAACCTGGTATCATTTTATGCGTCCTTAACAATTAAAATAAAATATGGATATATACAATTCTTGCACTGGAACCTTATAAATAAAAAGCTGAATTTTCATACCAATTAAGAGGACGCCACACCCGCATGTGTTGTCTCCGTCTTACAAACACTTAACATACCAAATTTAAGTTCAGCAGCTCACGTTTTATGCAGTTAGCTTAAAAATTAGAGTAAATCGACCTATTATGAAACTTGATGATAAGAACTTTATCTGTGTTTTGTTGGAAGTTTTTTTACGACAATTCAATTTTTAAGTGAGATATGCTTGTATAATAAATGTAAATTAAAAATGTTCATAACTCACTTAAAAACTGAATTATTGTAAAAAAACTTCCAACAAAACATAGATAAAGTTCTTAACATAAAGTTTCATAATAGGTCGATTCACTCTAATTTTTAAGCTAACGGCATAAGACTTGAACTGCTGAGCGTAAATTTGGTATGTTACTCGTTTATAAGACTGCGACAACACATACGGGTGTGGCGTCCTCTTAAGAATAATAATTATAAAGTGTCCAAAATATCAACTCTACTTTAAGATGTTAATATTTACTTTGGGAAATAAACATCTGTGAAACGCTTGTTGAGGTAATGTTCTATCTGCTGGGTCAAATTCTCCAGGCATAATTTGAACATCAACAGTTGACTAGAAAATTAAATAATTCTTATAAAATATAAAGAGTGAAAATAAATGAACTGTGCTTACAGCTAATTGGAATAATAGGTCATCTAACTGTTTAATTGCTTGAATGTCTCTAGGAAAATCGTCTATCTTGTCACGGTAATTTGGCTTTTTCATTGGAGTACTACGTATACTATTTCCTGATAAAAAGATAAATATTGAAATATTAAAATAATTATTATTAAAATTTCTACACTTCAAAAATAATTACCAGCTATTAAAACTTGGACAATTTTTGAGACTTTACTGTTTTCTTTTTTATCACCCAGTAAACCATATATCCAATCCACAAATAATTGTACTTGGAAATGAGTAGCAACGTTAGTGGCTAATTCTAAACCACTTATTATTACAAGAAACCTACAAAAATAAACTTGATTCATTATTTCATTAATACATTATACTCAACAGATTCTTAGAAAAATGTAGGTACATATTTCATATGCATTATACCTATCATCTCCTGAACTACGAGTAGTGAGTACTCTAGATGCAGCTGATGGAGTAGGCCAACAAAAATCCAGTACGTCAAATTTACCGCCATCATGAGGGATACCTTTTACTGCTATAATACATCCAGTCATAATATTATTTAAGGATAAACTACTGCCATTCAATCCATCAAATGTTAAAGGCACTCTTTGTAATTCATCTTCAAGTATAACTTCATCTGTATCGGAAACAAAATGAGTTCTAGGCAGTTGGGGTATCAAATTGTTCTAAAAACAAATATTAACCAAGAATTAAATGCATTCATGTTGTGTATAATATGAATTCTATATTACTTCTTCACTAATTTCCTTCAAAATACTAGGTTTTAGTTCTTGATGTTTAAATAGTGTGCCAATTATAATACATTCTACGCCAATTTTATCATGTAACTCGGATAATTTATAAATATCACACCCTTCGCCTATTGAAAACAAAAATCAAATTTATGACATGAGTATAATATCATATAAATTATCAACTAATAACTATAATTGAATTGTATCGGTAGACATCAGCTGTTAACAGTAGATCTTATGCACACTACATTACACATATTATATATTATATTTTTCGTTCTACGTTTTCATATATTACTATATTACCTACAACAATTTGTGTTGAATATGCAATATAGAACTTGATTTACTAAAGTACTTTTAATTTTTAATTTTAAGATTTCACTAATTTTTTTACTGAACAATTAGACATAATAACTTACCTATTATTAGCTAAAAAATAAATAAAATTGAAGAAAAGTTAAGATTAAGTGTAATAAATTTGTAAATAAAGACTACGCTTTAAGTTATAATCTATAGCTTAAGTAATCTATTTATGGTTAAATTCCTAATACAAACTGAAAAAAGTAATATATACCTAATACCCAACTTAATAAAATCACTAATGTACAAAAATCTGGTGTTAATGGATTTTTTTTTTTGACGTGGATTTAGGTATAAGCTGGTATTGAAGATAACAATAAAAACATATATTTTTTTTAAATTGTTATTATAGCTAGACAATGAATTGAATATCTTAAATGTAATGACTAATATACTATTATAGGTACCCCATTTTTGTTGTATTTTCTCTTGAAGAATGTCTCTCATCTGCACTAGTCTGTGAGCGTAAATGTGTGCAAACTGTCTGGTGTAGTTAACATCTTTTAGATGGAACATCGACGACATGTCGACGTAATTGAACGACGACCGTTCGAATTCAGTTTCATCGTAGTTGCCGACGAGTTCAGGCATGTTGAACTTCGAAAAATAATTGCCGGTAAATTCGTAAATTTCCTTTAAGAGCTGTGTAAGTGGAAGTGACGAAAAAAAACGTCAGTGGTCGATGTTAATTTTAAAAACACCACTCAACAACCGAGAAGAATCCTATGATGCGATGAATCGACTAAGTAATTATTATTATCTACGGGCTACGCAAGCACGAATTACAATGACGACTGACAAATGCCGAAGATGTTAGGACGACAATGCGACTTCTAAAAGGTCTTACTTGTCCAGTATTATACTTTTATACGCTCACTTCACTACTCTTAACTTCAGCGCAACAACTGTACAGTTAACCACTAATGTTTAACGATACTAACTACTTAGCACTATAACTACGGTCTGTTCACGGCGGTGAACACAATCATAGTATCATACACAGCAATACAGCATTATAATCAAAGCTGAAAATGAGCGGGAAAAAACTTGATTGGATGTTAGGAACGGAAACGACGACACTGACAAGATGTATTGGTAATACAATTTCCTTGGGTTTCTGAAACATCAATAATATTAAAATTGGAAAGAAAATTATCTTGATAAGAATAAAAATTTAATTGATAAGCGGAATAGGGAAGTTTATCCATTGTTTATGTTTTTCCTACGCCTAAATGTGTGTTATGTTCAGAACTAAACAGTAAATGATCAATTGCATTACAATTGAACAAACTTATATTAACTATGATCACATAGGTCGCAGGACAGTAGACAAGCAAATTCTTACACTCTTGCTCATACATGGAGACCAATTTTGCCGAGGTTGAGCACAGAGCCATCGAGTACCTGAACCACAAACAATGGAGCAACGCGTTTTTCTGTTTCGACCAGTTGTTGGAAAATGCTGTGGCCAAAAGCTTGCCGTCAGAACGGTTTGTCGGCTATTTATTGGGCCGGTCTCAGTGCAGTCTGGAATTAAAAAAATATGAAGATGTCATTCACGATTGCCGACACATCATATCTATGCTAACTGATGATGAAAATGCCTATAGCTCACGTGTGCGACGTAATCTAGTCAACGCGTTGTTTGCGTTGAAAAGATATGGCGAAGCGGAACAAGCTGCCTTGGAATGGGTGGTGAGGTCAGACAATAGCAGTGAGGCTAAAAAAATGTTGGACACTGTACGCTTGGTGTGGAGTATGTCAAAAGAAGACATCCCTGCACCAGTCCAGACATTAGAAGATCAGTTGAACCAGATCAATGAAGATCTGCTGTTTGGAGATAGACTAGATTCATGGATTGCTACTGGTGTGAGGGAACAAAGTCGAAGGAATAGAAAGCATCCCGTTGAACTAGTTGATGATGAAAAAATGGTTAGCCAACTATTTGAGTCATCCAGTAACGAAAATAATGGCATACAGCATTTTGAGAGAAACAGCCAATTCTTTGAACGGTTTAATGGAGCTGGTAAGTAATAATTTACCATTATAACATATGGTTTCTGTTATACAACTGATTCATAAATTGTTTACTCCTTAGGACAAGAAAATGGTATGACTTACTCTAATATAGCAAAGCATAACGGTAACGGTGAATCATATGATTTAAGAACAAATTATCAGTCAAAAGTCACTGAAGTTTTCCAAGAACCAACTAGTGAGTAATTTTTTGACAATTATAAGATTAATAAACAAAATATGTAATAATAAGTAATTAAGTTATTAATTCTATCACTTTACAATTGCTAATTTTTGTATTTATTTACTAAGAAAAGATTATTAAGTGTTTAAAATAAAACTTATAAAGTCCATATTTATAATAATGATCATTTTATTATTATCAATTAATATGTAGGTACCATTACATTGATAAGAAGTTGCACACAAATAAAATTTAATGGTTTGCTAAAGTTGAATTGACAATGAAAATGAGCCACGCCAACTCATTAGCTGGCTCTATCGCCAACCAGTCTTACTTAGGTCCTCAGTGGTGTCCCTGTACCAATTTAGTCACCTTACATTGCACGTACATACATATCGTTATTTAAAAGCATCCCTATCAACCATGGTTTCAATCCCTTTAGGTTAATTGTGCCACCATAATCAAATACACCTGAATATGCATTGGCCACCAATCTAAGATGGGACTCAACTGTGGTCTGTATTGCCCTCTACCTATTGGTGAGGATTACTGTGACTTCCAATATCTGCTCCTGAATTCTCTATCTGCAAAGAACTCAGTTAAGGTTTTTCTTTTCAACTCTTGGTATCAACTTTTCCCTCGTCAACTCTCTCTTAACTAATAATGTGAGTTTAATTATGCATACGCTTAATTTTATACTCCAAGCAGGCTTTCAAATCTATTAGTATGAGCTTTGAAAATTTATGTCTATTTGCCAATGATATGTTCATAATAATAATTGTCGATTATAATGTCCTTGTTAAAATCTCATTAAAAAAGTTGATTGGACAATCGTGGGTAATTAACTAATGTTTAAGGGACCATTAGCTCACTATTAATTAATTTAAAATGTAATGATTGTTTACCAACATAAATATGTTTATTTACCAAATAATAGATACTATATTTTAAATTCTTATTGCACATATAAAAATCAAATTGATTTTGTATGTGTTAGATTTATATTATTAATTAAAATAATTATAAATCTCATTTTTTCATTTGAAATTGTTTACTTTTGTACCCTGCTTTGGTAGTATTTTGTTACATTAAAATATCAAATTTAAATATCCATTTAGCCTAATAATTTATTGAGCTGATACTATTCTGTCCCATACTAACCACCTAGAAACCTATGTATTCTGCTGTATGTTTTTCTTAAAGAGCTAATGTGTGTATTATCCACTTACACATACACTTCAACAGTTGAACACATTGATTTAAAGAAATATATACTTAAAAGTTAAATTGATTTATAAGTATGTATATATATATATATTGTTGAAATATTCAATTTTTTTCCTTACACTTAATCAGTATAAATCTAATATAATTTGCTTAAAAGCTAAAAAAAAATTGGCTAGAAAGAGATATTTTACAAAATACACCTTTTTTTATTATTCAATAAAAATTTTTATTCTGATAGCAAGAATACTAAAAAAAAAATATCTACAAAAATTAATAATATTATATTTATACAATATCTCACCTGCCTGCCTAGTTAATTTATTGTCGAGCATACGTATAGAAATTATTAATACAAAACTATTTTATAAGCATTTAACAATTTAAGTTTGTTCTTAAATCAAAACTAAAATTATTCTGTATTGCTAATGCAATGCATAAACTATATATTTATCTTAATTTATAATTTTAATAGCTGTTCTATCCCTATTTTTAATAATAATAATACAATTTTTAGGAAAAGAAAACCAAACGGAGTTAAAATTTCCAAAAAAAAATGAGATGAGATATTCTTGTACATATTGTGGTATATCATTCCATTTAGAAAATCAACTCCGTGCACATTGTGCTACTGAAAACCATCAAACAGTAATTATGTCTGATGAAGGACGTGATTGGAAATGGCGTCCACCACCACGAGGATTCTCTTCTGAATGCTATACGTATGATTATCTAGTTAAGTTGTTAATTAGTCACTATATTAATGATTTAAAATTTTAGCTTATGTGAAGCTTTTTCGGATGAAGAAGGAACAGAAAACTCATGCAAATATGGAGCTCAGTGTGTTGAAGCACATGGCATGGAAGAATTAACTGAATGGAAAGAAAGATTTGAGTACAGGCGAATGAAATTACAACGTGCTAGTGAAAATAAACTTTATGGGAAATCTTATACAGAGCAGTTATTAGAAAGGTAAAACAATAATAATTTGAAGATAATATATTTTAAAATAGATTTCATCAATACTAACATTGTTATTACCACTCTTGCAGGTGGGTACAGTCGACAAATCCAGAGAAAATTATGCGTGAGAGTTTGGACAGTGTTGTCGAATCTCACGATTGTGATTTAGTAACTACTGTTGAATCTAAAACTAGTAACCGTGAATGGACCTTTGTCCTAGAAACAACTTCATCTCTTCAAGCTGTGGCTTTACTTCAAGATACTTATCGTAATCATTTTTCTCTAACACATATTTTGGTTGATAATGGTTTGCAACAAGTTGCTTTTGATATGGAGCCACCAAATGATCAAGAGTGGGTATCTCAAGCTCAACATCCTGTTTCTCAGTCTTTGTCTTCCAAATTAAGACATCAAATTAAAGTTTATTTTACAACAAATATTTATGGAACCTTTAGACAAGCAGTAGTGTTTGATTTTGGTCTTGGTCCTGTTCTGGTTAAACATCTTTGTGTAGACGTAATACCTGTGACAGATTGTGGTAAAGTCAAAGAAATTCACAAAGAATTAATATTATCCTCTATGGAACGATGGAACCCAAATAATTCAAATATTGTGGAGTTTCAATCATCAATTGGACCTACTCAAGTACAGGATGATAGAGAAAGAGAGCAAAATTTGCTATTGAGTTATTCTGCGCCTTGTCCTTCCACTTTTTCTTTAACTCATACCACCATTTCAGAAAAAAAACTTACAAGGAACAATTATAGAGCAAGAATTCATGAGTTATTATATGTTGAAGAACTTGCACGTTATGAACAAGTATTGTTTTTTTTTTTGATTTATGCTTATTTATATAATGTTATATGTATTGTTTAATTTTAGGTGGCCAAATACAATTTGACTGCAAAATTGCAATTGGCTAGCTGCTATCTACTCTCTCCTAGTGGCGTTGCAGCTAGTACAGCAAAATATTCTCATAATAATGAGTTGTTTGCATTATTACAACTCGGAACAGATGTATCTGAAGATACTTCAGCCGGAAGATTAATTTTAAATAATTGTACCACTGTATATCTTTCCCCGTCTAAAGGTAAAAACTTTTTTTTTGTATGATATTTAAATTATTATTTTTAATATGTAAAACTATTTCAGACAAAAAGTCATCTGATGAAAAGCGAACTGTTCATGAAGCACTAATTGAAGATAAAGGGAAAAATGTTATCTACCTTAAATTATCTGCCAATACAGTTACCGGTCTTGGTCTTAAAGCGGATACAAGTGTTAAATTTGATGTTCAGTTTCAACTAAATCGAATACCATACTGTGAATGGCATTATGCTATTGATCATATAGCTGACTTCAAAATTATCTTTCCTGACACTTTTTTGGAACCAATTATACCATGGAGTCCAAAACGACAATGGGTAGAAATAATTGACAAAAAACTAAATGTAAAACAAAGAGAAGCTGTTATTGCTATCACAACTCCTACAAACATTAGCTTACCTCCAATACTAATTATTGGTATGTTCATAAAATATTGAAAAATTTTTTTTTAAGTTTAAAATATCTGTTTTTTAGGTCCATTTGGTACGGGCAAGACTTATACTTTAGCACAGGCCATT